TGTCTCGAACATACTTACTTTGGTTGATAAAGATACCTTTATCAGTTTGTTTGATCTGGAGACCTAAAAAGAATATTAGTTCTCCCATCATGCTCATCTGATATTCTTTGTTCATGCGTTCAGCAAAACGAAAACATAAAGAGGGATTAGAGGAACCAAAAATAATATCATCGACATAAATTTGGACGAGAATGATGTGACATTTAATTTTCCTAAGAAATAAGGTTTGGTCAATCTTTCCACGAGAGAATTTCTCAGAAATGAGAAAAGAAGAAATGGTATCATACCAGGCACGAGGAGCCTGCTTAACCCATAAAGAGCCTTATCCAACCTATAGACGTGGTTTGGATACTTAGGGTCAATAAACCTTGGAGGTTGTTCAACATAAACTTCCTCATAAAGTTTTTCATTAAGGAAAGTGCTTTTTACATCCATCTAAAAGACCTTGATGTCTCTATGGGCAGCAAAGGCTAGAAAAAGTCGAATTGTTTCGAGTCTAGCCACTGGTGCGAAGGTTTTGTCATAGTCAATTCCTTCTTCTTGTCTATAACCCTGAGCAACAAGCCGAGCCTTATTGTGATTTACCACACCATCTTTATCCAACTTGTTGCGATAGACCCATTTGGTGCCTATCACTGATTTGTCAGATGGACGTGGGACAAGGTACCAGACTTTGTTCCTATCAAACTCAATGAGCTCTTCTTGCATAGCAAGAACCCAACTAGGGTTAGAGATAACATCATTGATTTTTTTGGGTTCAACTAAAGAAAGAAAGTTGACGAAGAGTGAAAGACAAAGATTACATAAATGATAAAAGGTTTGTAATACCTCATTTCTATAAATGATAAACAAACCACCAAAAGTTACATTTTTAAACCTTTAACAAAGCAAACGGGATATAATATTTACGAGTATCTAATTCGAAATGTCAGCTTGGTTTACAGGACGTTTCCGTAAGCACCTATTTTTCAAAATATCCTAAAACGGACAAAATAAACTTAATAGATTTGCATAAAGCTTAAACTATACACAAGACGGAGGACATTAGCTACCCGTTATCTAGATACTTTAATTACAACCAAAAGACAACTAATAATTTACAATCCATAGTTGTATTCGACTAACTATATAATACCAAAAGAATCGTACTACTGGAAGCACCAAAATCAAAGATCTCAATCTACTCGAGCTTGTTCTTTGCCTTATCTACACG